GGTTGAAAAAAACCAGGCCAATGAATTCCAAATTGCCAAAATATGGACTAGATGGAGTAAACTCATACTCATGCAAGAAAGCAAACATACATTTGCTGACAAGCAACAACTATAGTATAGCACAACAATCTATGAAGACACTTCTTATATGTCAAGGCGTGTTAAAACACATATAGGTCCTTTGTTGGGGCGGGGTGCATCTGACTCCAGGAGAGTAAAGGCTGACAGCCTTACCTGCAATTCAAAACTGCAACAACGTCCTTTCCCATACATCTTTGCCCCAAAGCCATATTCTACAAAATAATTTTTGAGCAAGAGCCAATAAGTTCAGAACCCCAGATCAATTGGAAACAAAAATAGACTTTGCACAAGCTATAGCATTAATTAAAGGGATCTTTATGTTGGGCAAATAATTTGACAAATGCTGCCGATTTGTCAATCTAAAAGAAATTATTATTCTGGAGTTTTTTGGTAAAAAGAAAAAAAGGAGGGGGGGGGGGAGAGAGAGATAGTAAAATAAGACTTGAGGATCTCCCAGAGAAGATCCTTTATATGAAGGAATGATTACTTGATTCAGATCTCCATCGACAATTCCCAATTGCCCCCATGGTACCACCAGTTTGCCTCCTTTCCATGTCTTGTATTAGCTGCTCCAAATATGTATTTCTCTGGAGGATCAGAGTTTAATCAATACAAAAATTTAAATACAAACATCCAGAAGGATCTCAACAGAAAAACCAACATCAACTGCACCAATCCTTTATATGTTCATGGATTCATATCCAATTGCCAAAGGCTTAGGCCCCATGAGAAGAGTTGTCAGAGCAACACGAATAAAAAAGTGCACAAGAACTGAAGAATGCAAAATTACTGTTTCCAGGTGTAGCAAACGACAGTGAAAAAAATTTGACCGAAAAAAAACGACAGTGAAAAAACTGATATAAAATATCAGGAGTGGCATGTATCTAGACAACAGAAAATGACGAATGGACTGTAGTCAAAAGGTTGGCATAGAATATATGATTAAAAGATACCTCCGTAAGTTTCTCAACTTCAAGATGCAATTGAGCTTCTTTTTTCTGCCATGATGCTTCTTTCTTGCACCAGTCAGAGCCCTAAGGACATAATTCTCACAATTCAATCCACTAAGATGATCAACAGTAAAAGAAATATAGCAGCATATTCTAGTAAAATCCACGCCCCCTAATGCCGGGGAACAATGACAGAGCATAATGGTTTTTTAAAAGAAAAAACATCATGGTGGGGGGTGGGAAGGAGGAAGAGAGGAAGAGGTTTTAGTATATATTGAGGAGATCCTCAAGAACTGATAAGCCACCCAGAAAAACATCCCTTAATTTGTAAATAAAGGAAAATATTCTAAGCAATCAAATTCAAAACTTTCTTTGGCTCCATACCTTGCATTCGAGAATAGCACATCTGGCCTCAAGCGACCGAATTTTCTGCAGAAAAAGAAGACTCATCAAACAAATTAAACTCTCCAAAGTTTCCTTTGAAATGTTATACACACATAAAATTAAAACAACCTTCTGTAACGCTTCATCAGCAGCAAGTACACGTGAAGCATAGAGTTTCCTTACATCCCTTAACGCACATTTCCTGTTGCATTGAGGACACTAAAGGAACAGTGCAAACAAAACAATGTTATGGCTTTTAAATGCTGCTTTTAAAAAATGTTTACCAGCCACAGCAGACAATTACCTTCCCGGAATTTTTTCTCTGTTGAAGCCACCTTTTGATGCAAGACATACCATATATGTGCCCGCACGGAAGAGAGCTGAATTCACACGACAGTTAAAAAGTACTAAATAAAAAGCAGCCAAGATATGCTGATCATCGTCGCACAGGAATAAACTTAGATGTAAATGTGCTTTAGCGTGACATATCAGAAAAAAGAATAGAATAATTTTGAATAAAAATCAATTATAAAGAGGCGGTAAGGGCTTGGCACCAGATATGGTGTTCACCGTCATTGGTCCAAGCATCCAGGCAAATGGGGCAATACAAGCCATCGGTGTCAGCATAATTCCATTCATTCCCTTGACTACTTTCGGCGTTCACAATTCCCAGAGACAAACACGTTTCTCCTCCCTCAGTCCTCCGCCGTTTGTTTCCTTCTTCTTCAACAAGATCATCCGGAACCTCCTGAATTATGGTATCATGTTGATCGGACGTAGAAGGAACGCCCTGTAACGCCCTACGAGACTGTACGAGCGGAATGTACTCTTCGGCCTCGTCCTCGTACTCCTCATCATCCTCGTCTTCTTCTTCGCTGGCTGCAGAATCCTCTTCGCCTTCTGATATTTGTGCCGCTACAACCTCGGCGTCGTCGTACAGGGAGAAGTCGTAAGGATCCGGCATGACAGGGGTACACAGTGAAGACTCAGACTCAGTTACCCTAACCGGCGGGAATGCCTTTTCAAGTCAAGAAATGAGTGCGCGTAAAATTTTAAAAAAGGCTAAGATGCATAGCATCGTGGCCTATTTTCTCTCTCAAAATATTTTAAGATACGTTTAATATTTTAAAATATTTTTTTATCTTGGTGCTGGATATACTAAAAAATATTCTACAGCACTAGACATATCTAAATAAATATTTTAAGATGTTAGATGTATCAAAAAAATATTTTACTATATTGGATGCATCTAAAAAAATACTTTAAAATGTTAAATGCATTACAAAATACTTAAGGTATTGATACATCCAAGAAAATATTTTAGGATGCTAGATGCACCTTAACCTTTTAAAAAATACTACATCCGACCCTTAATGTAAAACATCGATTAACTTTTATTTTAGTTTTAAATATAAAATCTCAATCCATTTTATCTCTCACATTTATTCATTTTTTTCCTGAGATAGTCATTTTAATAATGATAGTTCTAATTAATAAATTTAATTAGTATGGATATTTCAGGAAAAAAAACACTTATTTATTACAAATACTAACTTAATTTGTTTTCTGAATCTACTCAAATTAGTCAACTAGATCTTATATTTAGGATCGGAGGTAATACTAACTGATATTTTGCCAAAAAAAAATTTAAAAGTATCATACTGCTACTTCCTGCCATATTTATAGGACTGTGTTTATAATTTACAAATGAGGTTTTATAAATAAGACATGAGTTAGTATTATTTTTTGGAACTATTTTCTCAGAATTGGTATGATTCATTTAAAAAAAGAAAAAGAAAAGAAACTGTCGTGAAGTTGCAAGTTAAAAATGTAATTAGGAAAACCAAGTTTCAATATGAGAAATAATAAATGCTTAACTGTTTTAAAGATTTTTTAATAATTACATTTTTTCTTAAGATCTTATATTAATTATTTGAATAATAATAAATAAACTGATTAAAACAGGTACTACACTTCACCGTAGCCAAACAAAAAGGATGAGAAAGGTATTGAATAAATAAACGTATTACATTGATTGAAATGCATCCGACGTTCAAAACGTTGGCGAAAAATAAGAACATTCAATACTCCTTTTTTTTAACAATTTGAAACTGAAACCTTCATTCAACACAAAACCATTGTACAGCATCCAATGCTCTGAGTTAAATTCCAGGTTAAAAGCCAGTCTTGTTGATCCCGTGGCGAGCAAAGAGTCCCAGAAATATCAAATGATACTGGAAAATTTGTTATGCAACAAAAGAATATAAACATGTTTTTAATTAAATTTGGTAAAAATAATTTACAGTTTACTTCAGTCTTCATTAGATGCTTAATAACGAAAAATATTTTTATTTGTTCCCGTGTTAATATGATATTAATATTAGTTGTTATATCCTCCTTCTTCTTCTTTTCAATACGTCGAAATAGTTACTGCCAATGGAATCGTTTTAAAGCGTGCTATGATTATGTACGCGTCCATCGACATCGAGTATTAAGATCAATATGAAAAATAGTTTGCCTGTGGGCCACACGATTTATGACTAAAATAGCATTACTCTTTTTCAAAGAAATTATTGTTAGCCTAAAAAAAAAAATCGAAAACAACTGCCAACATGATTACTCTGCTGAGGAAGTGAGGGAAAATGAGATGCAGGGCAATCTACCTGGTAAACAATGGCTGCGCTGGGGTGAATGATGTGTGGATGCATTTAATAATTTAAGACATCCCGTGGTTTCACAAAAAGATAAAAGATTAATTAATTTAATAAAAGAAATTATATTCTTGGTAAACTTTACAAGTAGTCAAATGGGGTGGTTAGTGGAGGAGTCATCTTGAATCGAATTAAAAGTCTTAAAAAAATCAATAAGCTATTGGTTGAGGTGGTAGTAATCTTACTCCGTAAAAAGGAGAATACAAATTTGAATCTCGAAAAGTGTACTTGTTGGGAGAATTATTTCTTAATTGTTTTAGGCCCGAAAAAAATTAGTCTCAAGTCTAATGTAATTTGGGGATGCCCTTGTTTTATTTTATTTTATTTTTTAAAAAAAAAGCCTTCAAAGAGACACTGTCGACATTAACTTCTCTACATTTACTGTCCCAACTTATTCATACACAACCTTCCAAAACATCCAAGAGCTCCATGACAATGCTAGGAACCTGCCAACTTCGTTTCTAGAATTTCACATCATCAAATCCTGCGAAGACAAATAGAAGAAACATATTAGTTTAATTGTAAGATTTCATTAACTTTAACCGTCCCTCTGGTTCCAACACAAATGCACAATCAATAAAATATATGAAGCGGAGAGTTAAGAGAAGTGCAGTTAAAATATATCAGCTCTTTGAAAAGGGTTGAAATTGCGTCACAGCATGGAACAAGATAGTTTGGTTAATTACACCATTGGCCTCAAAGGAGGTGAGGGGAGCCGGTTATGGTAATAGTGGCATCCGAATGGATATTACAAAATATAAATTTGACAGCCTAGGAGCAACTGGCCTATTAGCTCAGTTGGTTAGAACGTCGTGCTAATAACGCGAAGGTCATAGGTTCGAGACCTGTATGGGCCAAGTCTGATATGTTTTGTTATTTTATACCCTCTTCATTTTGACCCCGACCCTTGGTCCCTATATCGATACCTCGAAGGAAAAATCACCCCTAACAACAAATCGGAAGATCGTCTCCAACAACACATATTGGAAAATGGTAATTGTTATTCTCTTCTTCCCGTTCATGCAATTTGGCTTCTCACTTTTTCCGATTTCCAGTTCGTAGTTTAATTACCTGACACCGTGAATTTGGATTTGCTCTAGGTTTGCCTGGCATGTTTGTTGCCCCTGTTTCTCGTTCCAATTGTCAACATCCTGCCCGTCCTCTTCGATTACATCATGGTATTTTTGCATTCGGCAGTCGTCATCCTATCTTGCGCTTGGGTTCTCCCATTTCCGATCTATTCACTGCGTCCATGATCTCATTCACGTAGCCAACACCTTAGGGCCCGTTTGTGTTTTTAGTACTCTGGAGTATTAGCAGTTACAGTTGTGTATGATAAATTCTTTAAGGGCTAAAACTGAAAACAGCAGCAGGAAATTTTGTCATTCTGCATTCTTTGTTTCTTCGTCAAATTATTGGTTCTTGATATGCATACATCTTTGACTTACAATCCTTTTTTTTCCCTTTTGGTTTGTTCGTAAATTTTAGGGAAAAATCTATGCTCTTTTCGGGTGGGAGTACAGGAAACCGGAGAGGGCTCCTCCAGCATGCCCGTACAAGCCTGCAGCGAAAGGGGATAGCCAAGTGAGTGAATACCTTATTTTGTTTAGGTGATACAATGGGTTATTATTAAACTGAATCTGCATCCATCTCTGATTGGTAGTTTCTGTATTAATAAACCAACCAAGAGCATCGCCTTTCCTATTAAATTTAAGAAGCCATTCTATTAAAAAAGAAGACCGGATTGGTCATTTTGTGGTTTGGAGCGAAATTTTTGTTGTTTTCTGGTAATCGGAAGTGGCCAATGATATTATCCCTGACCGTGAAAGTAAGTATTTCATGCGTAGATCAAGATAGGTTGTAATTGTGTCATAGTTATGGATCATTGGGAGCATAACGGGTTTGAAACATACGTAAACATATACCTGCGTATCCTGATATATTTAAAGAGATGTTATCTTATGCCACAAGCAGAACAATCATCCAATTTTTAAAACCAACCATCATCACAGTTGACTCACAGCTTTGGTGTCCTATATATGCATTACACACTTGGATTAGCTATGGAAAATTGATTTTGCACCGCACAAGGGAAATATGTGTGAAGAGTTGTCTCGCAATTTTTTTTTTTTGTTTAACTGGCACATACTCTGTGACCATCGAATAAAACTTGAAGCTGGGTTCTCAATTGCTCAGCTGATCTATAGAACTTGCATGTATAAAATGGACACATGAATTTCCTTTCTCAATCACCTCTTCCTGACAAATGAAGATGAAGGTGTAATGCAAACAAGTTTAGATGGCCAAACACTCGTATATAGCAGTAGAGGCACTGAATCTCCTTTATCTCTTTTACATGACTAGTGGTGACCAAGATATGAATGATTTGGGGCTGCTATTGGATTGCGAATGAGCTACTAATTTGAGGCCTCGCAATGCAGATCAAGGTTCTTAGGGGAAGTGAGAAACCTCATAAGTAACATTACCTCCGGTTTTTAATGTAAGAGCTAGTTGGAAGATTGGATTTGGTCCTAAATATAAGACTTCAGTCTGTTCTGTCTCTCATTTTTCTCAAAATATTCCTATTGATTGTATGAGATTCCTATCAAAGGTATTCTAATGTACATGATTAAAGAGGATAGTTTAGAGGGATCAACATACATTTTTGACAAATAACCAACTTAACTAATTTTTTTAATATCCTTAAATTAGTTATGTAGCTCTTATTAAGGACCGGAGGTAGTATATTGATGTGAACATCCCTACATTGTTAGGCAGAGATTTTGTAGCCAAGCCTGTGTGTTTAGGAACTTCAGATATTTTTGCTTGAGCTTTTTTCGTTAAGGACAAGGATTGAGTTTATGGGTTTGTGGTTATCTAAATTAGGACTTTGGGTTTAATGTATAAAAAATAATTTGAAATTTTCTGACCATGAGTGTTTGCCCTTTATGTACCTTCATTTGACTTTGTTGATAATGAATTTTGTGCTGCAAGTTGCATTTCCATTTGTTGTCCGGTTTGTGTCCTTGTCTTTGATCCCAGCTCACAATTTTAAGAGGAAAGTGTGTTACGAAGGGATAGCTGGAAATTGGTTTTACCCCTTCTGCGCCATGTTTTACTGGAGCTCATGCAAATCTTCTCCCTAGAGAGAAAGAAAATGTACTATTCAGCTTTTTATATCTCTTGATCTGTGTAGATATTTGGCTTACGGTAATATTTTTTTTCTTTGTTGCCTTTTATTTACGAAAGTCATGTATATTATGGGACCGTCGCCTGAACTTCATAATGGATTCTGTTTTGGATGTTTGCCATGCTTATGGCATACATCTCTGAGTTTAAACTATGTAGATTCAGAATATTTTAAAGACCGCTTGTGAGGAAAGAGGATATGTTTGATTTCACGGCTACCTTGCTCGTAAACTAAATTACACCTTCATTGCTTTTGCAGGTTGATGCTGATGCTGGACCGGCTCCGGTAGAGCCTGTTGAACCCGGACGAATAGATAAGAAGCAGGATTAAACCGGGGTAGTTTCTCGGCCGCCAGGTTGATCGGACGTAAACAGTTATGACCCCATTTACATGGTTTGGGACTGTGTTCGTAGCTCTTATGTTATTGGGGGGGAAAAAAAAGACAAATGAATTTAGATGGGAGCTAAGGTCGTTAATGATATAACTTGGTATAATGGTGAGTGTGTAAAGATTGTTCCCATCTTTTCAGACCGGTTAGTTATAATTCTTCAGCTCGATATTTAAGTGATCGAATATTATTCGTTTATTTTGTTGCTTCGTTCGTTGGGGAGAGAAGAGAATCAAACGTGTAAGGCTGAGGAAAAGAGCCTTTGTACTTCTTTTTTCGCACTTCCTCCACTTCTTTGTCCTCATCGTTACGTTCAATTTTAATAATTTAAATTTTTTATAGTGTGTTATTTTTGAAGTTAAGCTAACAGTGAAGATAAGGAAGAAGAGCATAAGAAAAGCGGAGAGGTTGTTTTCTTGCAAGATTAAATGAGATATCGGGTAAGGAAGGTTAAAGTTCAGAAAATTGTGGATAAAAACCGTATGTTGACTGTGGAGCAACGGCACGGAGGTTAATATAAGCGTTAATAGCTTCCGTGCGTGCGCGAAAATAGTATTTCTCTGCTTGCTCCAACTAATGTTGTTCACTTCATTTGTCAAAACAATTCAACAATCAGTTCACCCAAAAGAAAAAAAAGAAAAGAAAACAATTCAACGATCACGCAAGCGATAATGGCATTTGTAAGAGATGAAGTCGTTTGCGTAATTTCTTTTGCCTTAAAAAGTCACATGATACTGTTGAGGCTTGGGCCTTCCTACTTTCAACCCAAAAAGAGAACAAAACAGAGACAAAACACGGCTGCTATGAACAGCTGGTGTTTGGTACGCCGCCATACAAGATTAGATGGGGGTGGACGAAAAGTTAACGGACGGATGGTATGGAATTAATTATTGGGTCATAAAAAAAAAGAAAAAAGAAATAGAATAAAGCAGAAGTACGATTATAAGTGGGGATGGGGGACGTGGACTTGCAGGCGGCGGAGTCTCCCATATGGTGGAGTTGTTTTCAACTTTACAGAGTAAACAAAGCCATTTGGTTCCCTTTCAGAGAACCGACGAATCCATGGTCCCGATCCCTTGGGGCCCTATTCTGCTTTACTTGTGATTCTTCTTCACGTCTCGTCATCCTCTTCCCATTTTAGCATTTATTTTTGGTATATTGGGACCTACTCACAAGGAAGAGCTGACGAGACGGTTGTTTTGGGGTCCAATTAGGATGTAGGAATGCAGGCACCCAACTCATCATACTATATCAGGAGTATTTTGATGTAATTTCATGCGTCTCTCTCTAAATTTAATACTACTATACTTGGCCTGCAAGTGATTTTATGACATAATTATGACCCATTCGATTTGCACGTATTGACTTAGCGTTACATATATCATATACCTATTACTGCCCAATATGTAGTTGACACGTTTCAGACATGTTTCTCAAAACCCCGCTGATATTTCATCCCCATGTTCCCATGTCGCGGCAGCCAGCAGGTGACTTGTACGTAGAAGTGAGTAGCAACAATAGAATAATACGAAAAATTCATGTTCAGAGTTATCGTTAATTAGTTGAGACAAGCGAAAGGAACTTAAACATATATTTAAATTTGACAATACTTGAGAGGATTAAAAAAATTGAATAATCCTAGAAAGAATGGTCATATTTATATGTCTTGGTCCGTGAGACTGTAAGAGTGAAGGCCAATCAAACCCGGCCTTGACTAAAATTAGCAGTGACTTCACTTGTAAGAAGAAGGCTCAGGTGGGAAAAGGAAAATGGCGCTTAGGCACCACTAACCCCAGGGAATAAGACCAGTCGCATGAAAATTATCTGACACGTGCGAAACATGGATTTGATATTTAAAGGTCGGGAAAAAAAGAAAGAAAGAAGAACTAAACTGTTATCCCTGTATGATTTTTCACAGGATTTTGCGTCCCTGTGGAAAGTGAGATGGAGCCGTGTAGGGCCACCCACTTCCCAGATTTAGCACTATGGAAATGTATATGAAATGCGTGTCTATATACACACACATTATATATATATGCTTTTGTGTACGCATGTGTGTGTGTGTTCAATCTAAAGTATTAATTTATCGTGTCCACTTGATTTTAAATTGAGAGGCCACATAGGATCAGATCGTTGCTCGGATTGGCAGATGAAAAAGAGTGTTGGATGTCAACTATTTTAATGGATAGACACGAAGCAATCACACTCAGGAACATGGAAATTGAACAGAAAAGTCAGTGGCTTTTTTCTCCCAGTTTTGTTTGCCATCCTCCGCTATAGCAGTGTGCCTTTCTTTTTTATTACTCCATTCAACCATAAATCCATCACATCTGTGGATCCAAAATCAACCACAACAAGGCAAGCAATTTATAATTATTTTAAATTCAACAACAACTATATATAAAAAAAGTTGCGAAATTGATATGAATTATGGTGTTGTAACTATAGTGACAACTTTCTTTCAGCCGGTGACCAATTTTCAAAATTTCAAAGAAAGAATAAACTTTTTTAATTGTGGGGGTTATTATTAGGAAGCATGTAATCCTGGGTGAAAAAGGACACGTCCGTCAGAATCTTCATTTTTGTCAACTCACATCCTGTGCACGCTGCACGTGTAAAATGTGGAAGCTCCATAGCACAATAAAGCATCCCAGGAGATGAAACGTGAAAAGGATATATCCTGCTTTTTCAAAAAGCAGTGCTCTGGGTTATGGAAAATGTCAGGCTAATCAATAAATAATTAAAAAAATAAAGGGGAAATCACAAATAAAGACCCTCAAATTAGTAAAATCACTCTATGGTCATCTGAATATGTCAAATTACCATGAGGGATCCGGTCTCAAATTGTAATTATGAAATCATGGCCAAATTACCAAAATACTCCTCTTTAATTTTTTTTAAAAAAGGAAGCCACTGCCTCACCGGAATCCGGCCACCTCCGGCAGCCGCTTCAGGCCACTGTCGGCGACCGGACGCCGGGGTCCAGCCACCGGAACTCCGGCACCGGCGGCCGCTTCCGGCGGCCTTCCTTTGTTTTTTTTTTTTGCAACTTTTTTTTTTAAATAGTGGGGGAAGTGAGGTTGGGGGGATTTGATCCCCCAACCTAATGCTTCCCAAAATAAGGAATGACCATTGAGCCAACAAATTTTTGTTAACATTATAATGCAAAAAAAAAAAAAAGTTAACTCATTTACTTTTGTTCCAGGTGATAACAACAATACATTTGGAAATAACAAGTTCTGATTGTAAAATAACACGTCTAAAATAAAAATTTAACGATATGTTTTTTTTATAACAATAAATTTTGTTGCAGGCAATAACAACAATACATTTAAAAATAACAAGTTCTGATTATAAAATAACAAGTTTGGGATTAAAATTTAACAACACGTTTTTTTTTTATAACAACACACTTTGTTTCAAGTGATAACAACAATACATTTAAAAATAACAAGTTCTGATTATAAAATAATAAGTCTGAGATTAAAATTTAACAACACGTTTTTTTATAGCAACACACTTTGTTTCAGGTGATAACAACAATACATTTGGAAATAACAAGTTCTGATTATAAAATAACAAGTCTAGAATTAAAATTCAACAGCACCTTTTTTTTTATAACAATTAATTATTTTATACTTTTGGAAAATAAATTATTTATAACTTATAAAAAGTACTTGTAATCTATTTAATTTGCTAAAAAAATAATTTTTATCTCCAATTTATAATCAGAACTTGAAGTATAATTTTTTATAGATTAAAAATACTTTTTTATTGTTCAAATTTATAAATAAAATTTAGGGAAAATGGCAACACACTTTTTAAATTTTTTTTAAATTTTTTTTAATCTATATATCTATACAACTTATTATAAATCAAACTACTTCTTATAAATTATAAATAGTACAATTTATTGTGGATTAAAAATACTTTTTGACTGCTTAAATTTATAAATGAAATTTATCTCTAATTTATAATTAAAAATACTATTTTATTCTTTAAATATAAAAACTATTTTTAATATTTAAAGAATGAAATAATATAAAATTTATACTATGATTAATAGATTAAAAATGCCTTATTATAAATACTTTATAATTTATAAGAAGTAGTTTGATTTATAATAAGTTGTATAGATATACAGATTAAAAAGTATTTTTTAGAGAAATAAATATATTAAAAATATTTTTTATAGTTATAAATAATTTATTTTTTAAAAGTATAAAATAATTAATTGTTATAAAAAACGTGTTGTTAAATTTTAATCCCAGACTTATTATCTTATAATCAGAACTTGTTATTTTTAAATGTATTGTTGTTATCACTTGAAACAAAGTGTGTTGTTATAAAAAAAAACGTGTTGTTAAATTTTAATCCCAAACTTGTTATTTTATAATCAGAACTTGTTATATTTAAATGTATTGTTGTTATTGCCTGCAACAAAATTTATTGTTATAAAAAAAACATATTGTTAAATTTTTATTCTAGACGTGTTATTTTACAATCAGAACTTGTTATTTCCAAATGTATTGTTGTTATCACCTAGAACAAGAGTAAATGAGTTAACTTATATTTTTTTTTGCATTATAATGTTAACAAAAATTTGTTGGCTCAATGATCATTCCTTATTTTGGGAAGCATTAGGTTGGGGGATCAAATCCCCCCAACCTCACTTCCCCCACTATTGAAAAAAAAAAAGTTGCAAAAAATAAAAAACAAAGGAAGGCCGCCGGTGGCCGGACCCCGGCGTCCGGCCGCCGGAGCTCCGGCGCCGGTGGCCGGATTCCGGTGAGGCAGTGGCTTCCTTTTTAAAAAAAATTAAAGAGGGGTATTTTGGTAATTTGGCCATGATTTCATAATTACAATTTGAGACCGGATCCCTCATGGTAATTTAGCCTATTCAGGTGACTATAGAGTGATTTTGCTAATTCGAGGGTCTTTATTTGTGATTTCCCCATAAATAAATATGTTCAGAGATGTGAATCTTGAGAGTAGCGCTCATATTTATGTGGGATGTTGTCATTTTGAGTTGCGATTGAGTTATAATACTACCTTCTATCCTAATTATAAAACCCAGTTGACTTATTTAAAGAGATTAAAGAAGTAAGTTATGTTAGTTATCTGTAATAAATAAGTGTTGTCATTCCTAAAATATCCTTGCTAACTAAGTATATCGACAAGAACTATTATTATTAGAAGGACTATCTTGAAAAAAATGCATAAATATAAGAGACAAAATGGATTGGGATTTTATAATTAAGACCAAATAA